TGGTCCAGCTTTCACAGCCATGCATTGCAACTGGGAAAACCATAGCCTTGACTGTACACACTTTTGTTGGCAGGGTGATGTCTCTGCTTTTTAGTATGCTGTCTAGATTTGCCATAGCTTTATTTATGCAACCTGTATACAGTATATATCCGTGATGGTGAACCGATGGCACGCATGCCAGAGGTGGCACACAGAGCCCTCTCAGTGGGCACATACACCATTGTCAGCTGCTCTTCTGGTTTCTGGTGACAGCTGGTCTTCATGGGTGCCGGAGCATTGAAAAATGGCCCCAAAACATGGCCTGAAAATGGCAAAAAAAACAAAAACCCAGGTCGTTTTCAGGCTGTTTTGGGGGCCATTTTTCGGACTGAAAACAGCTCCAAAACCCAGCAAAAAACAGGCATGTGCGCACTGTCCAGCTGATCTTCAGTTTTCCAGCACTCCAGCACGCACATTCCAGTTTGGACACTTGGTGCCGAAAAGTATATATACTGAGATCAGAAGAAGATGAGTATGATTTTAAAAGTGGAGAGAAAAATATCAATCCACTAGCATTATGCTTATGACACTACTCTGAGAGCTGAAAATGCAAATGATTCACAAACTATGTCTATAGAGATTCTTAGTCATCCAGGTCCTGGTTGTCCCAAAGGTGCTTTTTCAAGAGGCAACTGGACTTCCTGGTTTTTCTTTGAAGACATTTCGCTTCTCATCCCATATGCTTCTTCAAGAAGCTTCTTGGATGAGAAGCAAAACTTATCTCTTGAAAAAGCACCTTTGGGACATTCACACGCTCTAGTAATGAAAGTCATGGAGGACAATGAAAAATAGAATGGTACTAAGATGAAATATAGGTAGTCCTCAGTGACAATAATTGGGACTGGAATTGCCATTGCTTAGTGATGAGGTCATAAATTACTCTGGGTGTTTAAGTGAGGACATCATATGCTTGTCGTTTGCAACCTCATGCCAGCTTCCCCATGGTCTTTGCTTGTCGGAATCTGGCAAATCATGTTGCAAATGGTGACTCCATGATTGCAGGGACACCAGAACTCTGATAGGTCATATCATTTTTCAGCACCAATACAAATTTGAATGAGTGATCATTAACCAAGGACCGCCTCCATGAAGAAGACCAAACTAATGACAACAATTCAGCAACCAATAATGATATGATGATATGATAGCTTCTGAGTTTTAGGATCAACAGCCAACATCAAATGGTCCAGCAGTCAAGATATTTGGTATAGACTAGTTTTGGTATGATAAAAAATATCTTTGTTTTTCCATTGTTCAGGGTGCCTCTTTCTTATAAAACAAGCATCCAAGGAATTTTGTATTCCATTTTCAGACAGAATTCCACAATACTTTATAATATGTGATTGTATGCTGTTTTCTCTGAGTAGAATAGATGACAACAGTCTTTCCTAATTTGCTATCCCACAGAGAGGAAAACACCTTTTATCTTTTGGTCCTCTTATACTTTAAAACATTTATATTTACGTTTTGATATAGTTAAGGTACATATATTTAGTTTGTTAATAAAGTAGTTTGTGAAGCTGTCTGCAACTGGCTGAAGTGACCAGGTCTTGAAACTGAATTGGAATCAGTTATGTGCAATTGAGTGTGATTTGTAACATCCATTTTTTGCAGTTTAATAACTTTAACCAGTGCACAGACTGAAATATTTTAGTTTCCAACAGTGATCCATGCAAACATTGTAGACAAATATAAGCTAATAACCATCTCTACAGGAAATTGTGTGACCTCATTACTTTATATATAATTTGATTTGGAATAATTTTGTGTACCTGCATTGTAGTATATTGTGTACTATTTCATTAGTAGTGGCAAATATGCAAAACAGATAACATTTGATCTCTTATTTTCAGCAGGTTAAGCCAGATGTTCTTTGGGGAGACACAACTTTTAATTCTGAGCCTCATGCAGTATAGAATTTAAGAATAAGGTATTACGGGTATTAATAATATCCATATATTTGTATACACCTACAAACTACTGTAATCTAATGTTTATTTAAGAACAAAGATTAGCCAAAATGTTATTAAGAAATATAACTTAGTTCTTGTCAGACTTCTCAACAAGCTCAGCCGGAACAAATAACCATTCATGCAAGAATATAAATATTTCTGATTATGTAGGAGAGATGAAAAGCCATTACAAAAATATTCCACTGACTGTTCTCTTTGACTATAATCTATGTTATATTCTTGAAACACTTTCTCCTGCCTTATGTAAGGTTACAAGTGATGTGTTTTTGAGAGAACAGGCAGGAATCATTTATTTTTTAAAAAAGCAAAAGAGAGAGAGAGGGGGAAAATGATACAAAGATATACTATCTATAAGTGACAAAGAAGCTGTGAAAGTTACACCATTAAATGCTCAGTATATCATTAATGAAATTTAACCATGAAAACTGGGACTAACTACTGGGTATGGAAGAGTTGCATACCTCTAGTTGGCATCATGAGCTATTCAAAAGATAAGCGAATTCAATTTGATAAGTCTTTCAGTTTGATGACAAGACCAATAATGTCCAATTTGGGAACAAGCTAATACTGACAAATGTAAACACCTGCACTAGAGAATCAGTTCCAGCTTTTTAAAGATCCTCCATAGTCTCCATCTTTTAATTTGATCAGTTTCAAGGAGTGGAGGGCTATCTTGGTGAATGCTATATCACATTTTTTTGTTTATTTACCAGACTTATCAAGAATGTGGCTCAATGCAGCATACAATAAAAATGAACAATTTAAAATAAAACTTTAAAAAACATTAAACAATTAAATCAACCACAGGAAAGTACCTTCAAGGCCTTTCATTCAATGTAGTAATTTCATGGGCTCTCCACTTAAATGGGATCCCCAAACCTGCTGACAAAACCACGTTTTAAGGGATTTCTGGAAAATCAGGGGTGCAGCTAATCTTACCTTAGTAGGGGGGGGGGTGAGAAGTCATGGTGCAGCAATGCTTAGAATGCAGTACTAGTCTTAACTCTACCCACAGCCAGGAGTTTGATCCTAATTGCTCAAGATTGACTCAGCCTTATATTCTTCCAAGTTCCGTAAAATGAGAACCAGATTGTTGGGCAATATGCTGACATTGTAAATCACTCAGCGAGTGCTATAAAGCACTATGGAGTGGTATACGGGTAGTCCTCCGTTTAAGACCACAACTGTGCCCCAAATTTATGTTGCAAAGTAAGACAGTTGTTTAGTGAGCTTTGCCCCATTTTCTTGGCACAGTTATTAAACGAGTCATTGAAGTTGTTAGTAACATGGTTGTTAAGTGAATTTGGCTTCCCCACTGACTTTGCTCGTGAGCACATTGCAAAAAGTTGATCATGTGACCTAGGAACACTGCACCTGTCATAAATATGTGTCAGTTGCCAACCATCTGAATTTTGATCATGTGACTACAGGGATGCTGCAATAGTTGTAAGTGTGAAAACTGGTCATAAGTCACTTTCAGTGCCATCGTAACTTTGCATGGTCACTAAATGAGCTGTTTTAAGTTGCGGACTACTTGTATAAGTCTAAGTGCTATTGCTATAGGGTGGATGCCTCAATAGAGAAAGCTCACCTGGATCTTGACAGATGGAATTCCTTAGCAGACAGGACCCATAATATACCCTTTCTTCTGGACCTGATGGAACAGCTAAATGTTATCTGAGAGAGGCAATCCCTCAAATAACTCTGCCCTCTGCCATGTATGACTTTAAGAGTTAAAATTAAGAGCTTGAATTGAGATCTCCCACACAAAGCTTTGCAAGCAGTTTTTAAAATGGAAATGTTAAAAGCAGTTTGTTTTATGTTTTAAAACCTTTTTTTGTTCAAAAAAGTATTTTTAAAAAGCCCCAAAATGTAGCATTTTTGTTAGCTGAAGTAGTGAGGTTCTATGCCTAAATGTTTCCAGAAACGGGGGCAATATTTTCTCCATTACATGAAAATAAAATTGTATTTGTTCCGGATTGTAGTGATAACAAATATTAATAGCAATGTATAAATATGCAAGACGCATAATGATTCAGGTTGGTTTCAGAGTTTTACATTAAAATGTTTATTAAAAGGTGGTTCTTACAGGGGTATGAATTTATAGATTTTAATTTAGATTTTAAACAAGTTGCTACCCAGGTTCATTATACATATGGCATGTAGTATTGTTAAAATATTTTGTGTCCATTCTATTTTAAACTGAATTTATTTATTACTTCACATTTTCTTGAAAATATTTACTCCCTTAACATCTTAAGCTTTCCGCTTCGCAGCAGTACTACTATGTGTTTTCTAGACATATTCAGATATCAAAGAGTCTAAAATACCCCGAGGCTTGTCTGCTAAATGAAAGAAAGACAGAGTTGGTTGTGTTTATTCCTTCCTTTCTTTATGTTTGGGGATTTAAGTTTAGAGCAGCTGAAAGGATTCTCTATTTCCCCCCCCTGGGATTGAATATGGTAGCTCCTATGTCAGAAATGCAGTGCCTAACTGTTTTTTTTAAAAGACAAGAAGAGTTTTTCCAAGGTCTGAAGTCATTATCCAGGCTTGGAGGGGAAAATTCAATCTCACATAAGTCATTCAGATTTATCAGAGATCATTGGATTGTACCTGGGTCTTCATTTCCAGCTACTGTACAGGACAATTTACATTATTTTTTGCTGGTTGGTAGCCTTTCCTATTGCCTATTTCAAACTGTAAATCCTACATTGCTTATATAATTCCATGAATCTCTTTGTACACAGTTTTGAAGTATACTGTTCATAATTTTTGCAAGATTTCACACACACATACATACACACACAGAAAGAGAGACACACACACAAAATATTGAATCAGTGGCTGAGTTATTCAAATTACAATTTTGTTATAAATCCATACATGATTATACTTGACTTTAAGATCTGAAATCATTGACAAGGATTACTGTGCCTGACAGAAAAAGAAGACAAAAATAAACTTATCTCCAAATTATTTCAGTTTCATGTGACAAAGATGGAGACGACAATTCTGAATTTACGGAATTTCTTTGACCAACTCATGTGCCAAGCAGAAATTCTAAATGAAAGCAGTGAATACCGTAAGTGATCATTTTTTATGGATGTTATGAAGGTGAATCATGTTAGTCACCTGCAAATGTTAGAGACATACAAATAAATATATTTGAGGGTTTCTTCCTGCTCTGTAATTTCCTTGAAAGATAGGCGTGAATTTTTCCAAATTTCTCAGATCACCTAACAAATATCTGTAAAGTAATTCAGGAAGCATGATTAATTTGTTGGATGTCTTATGTAGAAAAGTAACCTACATAACAATTAGTGAGTTTGTACAATGTGGTTTCTAGGCAACAATGTGTTTAAAATATTATGATTCCAGTAGTTACACTACTTGTCTCATGAAATAAGGCTACCTTGCTATATATTTTTGCGGTTCTCAAGAGTCCAAATGAAGTCTATGCACTGTTAGAGTCACAGCATTTGTAATGTGTTAGAAGGTTTAAGAAGAAAATATTGTTTATTGAAATAACTATCCAATGTTTTATTAATATCACTTATCAGGATAGAAAGTTTATATCCACATTAGGCAGTGTTGAGCATCTAATAGAAATTAGGGTTTTTTCTTCTTTGGATCAATATTTATATAATTGTCCATCAAGCTGCTAATCCAAACATCTATAATACTAGTTAATGTCAATGAAGTGTATTTTAAACTTTTTGTTGAATGTCTTCCTGATATCATAATCATTGATTATAATATAATCTGCTCACAATTTTGCTATAACTGCAGTTTTGTTTGCATGACAGTTGTCTGTTCATATTCTATAAAGTCCTTTAATAAGGTTATTGTTTCTCATGATTATAACTGATCATGCTTAACATGGAACTACATTGAATACCTGAACTGAAATCCTTGAATTGGATTATAGGGGGAAATGCGTTGACTGAATTCATGTTTAATCAATAAGTTCTACTGTCTTCGGTTGGATTTACTGGCAGGAAAGCTTTTCTTTTAGAGATAACTTTCTCTTTCTGTACTGTGTTCTGAGTAATTGGGGTTATTTTAGCACCTGGCATTATCTAAATCAATTATCTCATCCTTTTCTCCCACATGGACCCCCTTTAAATATATTTTGTGTCCACAGACCATGGCCCCCAAATCTTAACTCAAGATTTAAATCATAATAATTTACTGTGATATTGCACACACACCCCAGCAGTCTGTGGACTACAGGTTGATAACCACTGATTTAGATGATTATCAATCCTAGAGGATATTTAAGGAGGAAATAGAAAAAAAATATTTTAAAAATTAAGTCCAAATGGAGTAAAAGTTCATTTTTCCCAGAACTTATCCAACTGGCCAAGAACTTTGAAGAGTTTAGGAGAAAATGGCAGAAAATGGATCACGAGGTGGCCAGATACAAAGATTTACTGATGAAAACAGAAACTGAGCGTAGTGCTCTTGATGTGAAACTGAAACATGCACGCAACCAAGTAGACGTGGAGATCAAGAGAAGACAGCGAGCTGAAGCAGATTGTGAAAAGTTGGTATGTATAACATTTCTGAGCTTGTTTTTCAAAAAGTGGTATCTGATTTAGAAGAGGAATGCAACAGCTTTGTTAAATATCCTTCCATTTATGTGATAATAGATATAAGCTTTTTTTTTTTTTACCAGAGGGTAAAAATATATTGCAATAAAGGTATGAATGTGGGCTTATTTGGCTGATAAACTATAATTTCTTGGTTTAATAGACCTTAATTTAGTATACTTCAGATATAATTTTTTTTTAATCCTGCAGCACACTAAGGATTATTTGGGGCAGCAGTCTAAACAGTAGAGACTGCTTCCCTTAAAAAATGGATAAGTTTCTATTTGAATTCTAAATGAAGGAGTGAATGTACTAGGACAGGCCTGTCAAACTGGTGGCCTAGGGGCTGGATGTGTCATGTACAGGCCATGCCTGCCCCAGCTCCGCAAAGGCAAAAAATGTTACAATATGTCACGTGATGCAATCCAGTTTGACACCCATGTACTAGGGTGATTGGATTGCTAATGGAATATTCATATATTTAATATTAGAATTTTCACTGAGAAGAGAGGAATATATTACAAAGATCAGACAGCTGGGTGGGTTCACAGTGGTGGCTTAGTCAAGGGTAGGAAGCAAATGTGATAATACTGGGAAGATCAGCAAGTAGCATGCTGGGCAGTGACCGGGATAGGAAAAACCCTAGGAAGAGAAAGAAAATAAAGTGTTGGGATCATTTGGATTTAATAGATAAATCTTTTACCTGAACAGTCTGTTAAATTAAAATTTTCTTGTAATGTGATTACTTGACTGCAATGGATAAATGTGTAATTATTTTAATTTCATTGGTGACATGGACTGTTTTCCAGTTTGTGGTACAATAAGAGCTCTTTTATGAAAGGAAACCTTTTGCTCAAGGCAAAGTAAAGAAGCTGTTTGGAAGCTTAACAATGATGAATGAATCCTTCTGCACCTATTTCTTAGACCCCTTCCATCTAATGTGAATCGTAGTTTTGAAGTTGGCATTGACAAGTTTATTCCACAGATACAATAGCCGCAATTACTCTTTTCTCTTTTGTGGGACTAAAATGGTGAACGCTGTTGTGATTAGTCAGTGGAATTGGTAAGATACCAGCAAGTTGCTTTCTAGCTGAAAGAAATCTATTTGGACTATATGAGCTTTTATCCTGGTTAGCAATTGGCTCCAACAAAATCCCTTGGCTGTTTTATTCTCATGCTGTAACTTGAGAGATCAGTGTTATGTGCCTTGCATAGGGATTAGTATGCTAGTGGCATCATGGTAGTTGTGTTTCTCAGGAGGTTTTGCATATTATGTGCTTTCTGTGCTATAAATGTAATATAAAGCTACTTTTAATGTTTCTTAATTTGTAGGAGCAACAGATTCAGCTGATCAAAGAGCTTCTCATGTGTGATTCATCAGGCAGCATACAGCTGAGCGAAGAACAGAAATCAGCACTGGCCTTTTTAAGCAGGCCTCAGATGTCCCTTGGTGGTAACAAAAGGTAGATTGTCCATGGATTATTTCAGGTGGATTAGATTGTAAAAATGTAATGGTTAATATCTTTCTTCATTTTAGTTAGGAAACATTTTCCCAGTCTGTTGATTTTTTTTTTCTTAGAATCAGAAGTCAAAGATTCAAACCTATGTTAATAGAAGATACTTAAAATAACAAGATGCAATCCTAACACATTTTTGTGCATTTTGTTATTTAAAATTTTCAAATATTGAAGTACATGGGTTGCAAGTGGCATTGTTAAACTTCATGATGTTTTTACTAGTACACTGTGGTAAGATACAGAGAAAAGTCATGGAATATATAGGCACATGAAAGAGGTAAAGAATAATTGGCAGGTAAAAGTCGATCACAAAACTCCAGTTTCATTACTTGAATTATTTCCAAGAGGTTCTGTTTATCAATATGTTAAGCTTATGAGAACTGAATAGAATGGGACCAAATTGGTGGGCAAAACTCAAAAACCCTTGAGTTGGGAAAATGGCCCGGATCTAGGCAGGGGCTGCAGAGAAAAATATCCACTTGCTATAGAAGAGGAGGAAGTAGGCACAGCTCAGATAGTTGCTGACTGTTCCATTATTAGCTACTTCCTGCTTCCTTCCTGTTCATGTAACTCATATTTTTATGGGATTGGAAAGAATTCCAGGAGCAATGTGCTATATTCTTTATCTTGTTTTTCCTGGAAAATAGGATTTTCAGAATTTCAACTTGTATCTCAGGAAATATGTAGTTTTATATATAGGCAGGACTAATCCATTACCGCATAACTCTGGGTATGTTTACTCATCAGCTACCCAAAATATACCCAAATTATATAAATATATTAGGGCTTTTATAGTTTTTTTCCAATAGGCTTTTGGTGTTATTAAGACAAATTTAGGGGATTAGAGGGTACAAAGAATATGGTAAACATAGTACATGTTTTATTGTGAAGAAAATTTGACTCCCATTGAGTTAGGCAGTGGCATAAAGGACATATTAAGTGTTATCCCGCTGAAACCACTGAAATATAATGCTTAACCTGAGCTGTTAAGGAGCTTTAAAAATGAATCTGTGACTTTTAGTCTTTTTTAGTATTACTACAGTAAAGTTTTTACATCAAGATACCAAATCCCATGTTTTTCATGATAAAATATAAAGAATTCTGAATAGTCATGGGCTGGTTCCACATACGTTACACGTCTAACTAACACTCATACTAGATACCCTATGTTCTATGTCTATTTTAACCATGTTATTGTAAGTTCGGTACTGACGTCACAACAAAATGCTTGCATCTAATGCTGTTCGTCTTTTAACTGCATTGTTTAAATTGTTAAAGGGGAGTAACTTTTAAAATTCTGAATATGTTATAATATTCTTTTCAAACTATGCTAACTTATCAAATACTAGATTACTATCTATGATAAGGTGAGATTTTAAAATGTATGTGTGATTTTTATTTTAGGCTGTCAACAATAGATGAATCTGGTTCAATTTTATCCGACATCAGTTTTGACAAAACTGACGAATCATTGGTAATGTAACCATTATCTGAATTCAATTCTTGTACTGTGTTACAATAAAAAAAGTTTAAATGATCCTTTGTAAGATGTCTATTATTATGGGTGTATATTCAAAGTTAGGCATAAAAAAATGAACAGACTGAAAATGCATGTTTGCCATCTGTTTGATACTAAAGAGGGTTTTTTTCTAATATCTAGGATTGGGATTCCACAATGGTAAAGACTGTTAGGTTGAAAAAAAGAGAAAAAAGGGTATGTATGGGTTTTTAAAAATGTATTTGTATTACCTGATACAAAGAGCAAATTTCATTTATTATTGAAATTTACATTAGTGATTGAAGTTATGCCTACAATGCAAATGTTTTCAGCTTGGGTACATTTAAATCATATTTCAGTGTATATAATTGTTATTTTTTCATTAGAGTTATACTCTACTTTTTTATGCTCACAAAATACCCTAACAGGTAGGCATTATGTAGAGAACCATTTAATTGTGCAATAAGTGGGACAAATATATTTAGGAAAATCTGATGTAATAGAATAAACAGAGTTGGAAGGAGCCTTAGAAATCTAGTCCAACCCCCAGCTCAAGCATTTCCAATAAATGTCCAATTTCTTATTTAAAAACTTCCTGTGTTGGATGTTGATGTGGAAATTGCCATAACAGTTTTGCTTTCGGTTAACATACAGTTGAACTTTGGAATTACTGTATTTTTCAGAGTATAAGACGCACCTAGCTTTTGGGGAGGAAAACAAGGGGAAAAAAATTGCCCTCTGCCTCCCAGCAATTTGCCTCCTTGCAGCAAACAGTCTGGTCAGCTTCAGCACAGCTTGATTAGCACAAGCAGCTGATTGTCGGTAGGATCGGCCTCCCAACAATCAGCTGTTTCAGGCTGCTATCGCCTATTGCTGTCTCCATATGCCTCATTTTTGGCCTCTGCATCCCGTTTTCAGCCTCCGCATGCCCTGTTTTTGGCCTCTGTGTACTCTATTTTCTCCCCGTTCCAGGTCGGGGCTTTGGCAACATTCGCTGTATAAGACATAGACATTTCCACCCACTTTTGTATACACCCACATATATATAATATATACTTGAGATGATCTACCACCCTTCCCATTTAATTCTCTTTACTTTCAACTGTATGGGTCACTAGGTAAAGTAGGCAAAAAACGTATTGTCTCTGCATGTTCTGAGTCAGAAATGATAATTTAGATAAATTAATGACTTCATATTCTGCTTAGAACCATTATAAATAATAGAATTTAATATGGTATTTCTCTAGAATTTTCACTTCACTCAAAAATGCTGTCATGCTGTCACTCAAAAGACTTACAAATGTTTTACAGCGCTCTTCTAGACAGTTTATTGAAGGCCCACCTGGTCCTTTAAAGAAAACTCGTTCCATTGGCTCTACAGTAGATCAGGTATGTGCTTTTATAAAGACTGTTAAATTCCTTCCAGAAGTAGGTCTCTGATCTCTAAATACCACATATTTATATAGAGAGGGGGTGTTCATTAGTATTCAATGCTTCATAGCTTTTTACTCACTGCAGATTCATCAATCTCATGTTGCCAATAGGAGGGCTCTATTTGTGTGTGTGTGTGTGTGTGTGTGTGTTTTGTTTATTGTGCCCAATTCTTGGAGAAAGCCTGGATCGAGTCCTTGCAGTTTTTTTGGCAGGGTTTTTCAGAATTGATTTACACTTGCTTCTTTCCTAGGGCTGTGAGAAAGTGACTGGCCAAATTTGGCTTTGTGCCTAAGGTGAGACTAGAACTCACGGTCTTCCAGATTCTAGCCCTAACGTCTTAACCACTACACCAAATTGCTCTTGAGGCCAAAGTTCTAAGATAGTAGTGTTCTCTAAGATGCACTTTCTAATGTGATGACTGCTATTCCTAAATATGCTTTCAGGTTTTGATTATGGTGACTGGCAATTTGGGGAGCTACAGTCTCAAGTGTGTCTGGAGTATACAACTGTGAGGAATCTGTTGGAGAGTATGGGATTTATTGGGATCATGTGGAAACTTTTTTTTCTCATTTGAAACCAGGTTTTTTGCTGCATAAGATGGTTAATAGGTGTCCAGATGACGTTATTAAAACATACAGATCTTAACTATTCTGAAAGAAAGGGCTTTTTGCTTATGTTTCCTACATGCTTCTTGCAACTATTTTATTTCAGGGAAATGAATCAATAGTTGCAAAAACAACTCTCACAGTTCCTAATGATGGAGGCCCAATAGAAGCAGTTGCCACTATTGAGACTATACCTTACTATGTTGGAAACCAGAGAAAGGCAGGTAAATGTGTCTGTATGAAATATTATTATTTCTTTGTCACAGTTTTTCATCCGTGTTTGCCAGTAATAATGCAGATGCTGATAGAAATGAAAATAAGAGCTTCTGACAGGGTTCATCTGAATTACAGCTAAAATTTGTTATGAATCACGTAGGACCATATTTTCTTTTCATGTATAACACTACGTACTTTTAATTGAAAGTCTTTTCCTTCGTTGGATTTTATATAACAGGAAAAGAAGAAACCTGCCAGTGAAAATGTATTCATTCTGTTAAATCCATCCCACACATTGGTTCTTTAAGAAGGTTTAAAATATCCTTTAAGCCTGAGCTCTTGTGCTGAGGAAAGGATCTAAATGTAACCATTTGCTTCCCCCACCCTTCAAAAAAACTGAAGTATTACCTATTGTAATAGAATTGAGAAAAAAGAGCAATAACTTTATCAGGTTAACAACACAGGTTAGAGTAGGTGTATTCGTTTAAACCTGGAGTACCTGCTGTCAGTTTAATCCTGTATCAAAACCTGATTTTTCAAATTGTCTTTTTTTCCACCCAAGCCATCCTACAGCCTTGGAACAGTGACTCAAGCCTGGGAAGCAGGAAGGTTGGAAACAAATCCGAAACAGATGGATCTAGCACTCCTGGAAGCACTGGAATGAGACTACACGAATTTGTATCAAAAACGGTGAGTGAAGAGGCCTCTCAGTTCTGGGCCCAATTCAGAGCTCCAATTATTTTGGGTCTAAGATACCAGTCAGCTGACTTTTTTGTAGTCAGTCATACGCATTCTCTGATTGTCAACTGAGGTTATGTTCTAAATGTTCTGAAAAAAAGAGAATGAAACATGGCGGTTGCTATAATAGATACTGTTCCTAACACTGCGCAAATTTGTTTAATGATTTGGTAAGATATCAAATATGATGTAAAACCTTATTTTGGTTTGTAAAGGCTTGCCCAGAAAGCCATGCTAAAGGAGACATTTGCACATTTTTTTGCAAGAAGTCAAACAAAGTTTGGAAGAAAACCATTTTGAAAATATTTAACCATACAGCTGCAAACTCGTGCCCTATTTTCATTTCATTTTCATTCATTTCATTTCATTTGTTAATCAAATTACATATAAAAATATAGTTAAGGAAAAACAATCAGCTTCACATTTTACATAGAGTTTAAATAATGATCCTGCCAGAGATGGGCTGCTGCCAGTTCACACAGGTTCTGGCAGACTGGTAGATAAGATTAGGCACAGTTTGGCAAACCAGCAAATCCCACCATTGGCTGGTTTTGGGGCTGTTTTCAGGCCATTTTGAGGCCAGAAAACGGCTTGAAGAATGGCCTGAAAACGGCCCAAAAGACAGCCTGAAAATGGCCAGGGGCGGGGCCAGCCAGTGATGGGATTAGTCCCACCTGGCTGAATCCTACCTCTTCCTTTCAGGCGAGTAGCCAGGAGGCGGGGCTAGGTGTGATGAGTGACATCACATACCCAATCACATGACCAACCGACAATGCTTACCCAGCCAGAGAATCAGTTGTTAAAAAATTTGCAGCCCATCCTGCCATAGTATTATTCCTAGCTGCCAAGTACCACCAATGCCTAGGTAATGTAATATAGCAATCTTGCTGAATAAGAAGCTGGTTAAAAGAGCAGTACTGTCGATGCTATAATTTGCTTTTGGTACTCATAACTGGGATTTTAACAGTTCAGAATTAGTTATGATTAAATTTGTGTTTCAGAGGGATAAACTGATGCACATCTATGCATGCACACCCACACACACAGAGCCAATAATTAAACAAATTAGGGCTTGTAGTTTGGATACTATGATACCTACATTAAAGAAGCAGCATGATCTAATCATAAATACAAGTAAAAGTTATTTTACAAAACCAATATGTTTTGCTATGCGTGTAAAGAATAGAACAATAATTACAGTAAAAGAAATCAAGTCTTATTTTTTCTCTCTCATATTTCTCTCATTCACTTTCTGCTTGTGATTTATTGTAAGTTTTTATATCAATTACTGACACTGAAATGTCTATCAGTTTTCTCCTGGTTGCCTTTAACTCACAAATTTCTACATCCAGCATCCAAATCTCACTGTACACAACACAGTCCATCTTCCTAGTCTTTCCACACTCTCACAAACTGCTACAGAAACTGCTTTTTCTTCTGGTTTTCCTCCTCGTCCTAGAACTGGCATCTCTAGGCTTGGCAGTCCAGGTCATTCCTCTGCTCAGCTCTTCATAAACCAGTTGATGTGCTCTCCAGCAGCATGTCTTTGCAGCATCTGAAATGTAACCCCCACCCCCTTTCCCCACTTTCCCTTTCTCTCTTTTTAAAATGCTTTATATCTAAGACATGTAAAGAATGCACTTTACAGATGCATTCTGCCATTTTCCTTTTTTCTGTCTACTTGTTCTTGGTCTCGTGAGGGCATATACCTTTTCTAAAAAGAAAAATACATGACCTTTGTAGAGACCCAGACACTTTCCTCCAGCTGGGCATTCAACTGGTACAGATATATAATTTAAATAAAAGAAACCTGTATACATGAATGTCTTCACATTAATGTATCTTAGTGGTTAGTTTCATCTACTTGTCTATGTCTATTTATTGAACTCAGTATATTTCATTGCTTATTCTCGATCAAGTTAGTTTACACATATTCTCTCTCTCCCCCCTTCCCCCCCGCTCCGCAACCTCTCTCTCTCTAGGTTATTAAGCCTGAGTCATGTGTTCCATGCGGGAAGCGGATAAAGTTTGGGAAAATGTCCCTGAAATGCAGAGACTGTCGAGTAGTTACACATCCAGAATGTCGAGATCGCTGCCCCCTGCCCTGCACCCCTACTGTAGCAGGAACCCCTGTCAAAATTGGAGAGGTATGCTTCTAAATAAAATACCTTAGTGCTGATGATTGTATATTGGACCTCAAAAATAATAATAATATTGAAGATTTAAATAGGTGAAAGAGTCTTAGTTCGCTGTGAAAATGTTTTTGACATAAGCGGCAGCAATGTCAAGTTATTTTCTGGTAAATAAAGCTAGTGTTGATACATCCACCAACTCTTATTATACTGGAATTGAAAGAAGCTTTTTAGATTCTAGATGCTGATAGAAAGAAACGTGTACACTGGAGACTGGAGTTTTAATATAAATGTGCCGTATGTATGTGTAAAGCTTTCTTGATATCTGTTTTTAAAGCACATTGGTATCTAGAAATAGAAAAAGAGAGGCGAACAGAAGAAAAAATGACAAAGTAACAGTGCCTGATATTTTGGAAAGAAACTGTTTACTTATATCTTAGTATTCATTGCTCATGTCTAAGATTTTTCACAAGCATTTTATGTACCAAATATAATCTAAGCTGGGAAGAAGTAATATGTAACATATGCTAAAAAAAACCTTGCACTGTTACTGTTGTTGTACTATTAACATATATACTCTTTTACAGTGCTCAGAAATATGTTAAATTTTTATTGTTGTATCTCTTATATTGAATTACTGAACATTTCATGCCATGTTTTTTTCTTTTCGTATCAGCGCTATGGTAATTTAAAAAACTAAATTAATTTAGTTTATGAGTTAGAATCTTTACATCTAAGCTTTAGAATCTGACACATGGTCACACAAGTTAAATGAGTTCCTTGTCTCTTGTTTTCTTGCTATGCACTTACATGATATAGTTCTCAAGTGATTCTTACTAGTTTTACAGTCAAATTATATATTAAAATTCGTGCCTTTGTTTTCTCTTTAGTGAAAATAAAAATAACAAGAATAACCCTTGTTATTTCCCATTTCCCATACTTGTTCCTTTCTCTTTTTTTTTTTAGGGAGTTCTGGGGGATTTTGTACCTCTGACGACTCCAATGATCCCCTCCATTTTAGTTCACTGTGTAAATGAGATTGAAAGACGAGGCTTGAATGAGGTAAAGTAAGCTTAAAAGGTATAAATCTTATGGAATTGTTGGAATGCAGAAAATGCATATGGTTTCTGCTAAGACCTTCTATATCAGGAGTGTCAAACTGGCAGCCCACGTGCTGGATGTGTCATGTGCAGGCCACGCCCACGCAAGCTCCACAAAGGGGAAAAAATTGTTGCGATATATCACGTGACGTGGCGACTTTGACACCTGTGTTCTATATCTTATCAAGATGTAGCTACTTTCAGAATTGCTGGGATGATGATTATGGAAGTCAAATGCTAGCATATGTTACATTAAAGCTGGAGGGATTTCAGAGAATCAAGTTTGGGATCTTGCTTTAAAAATCATTGTTTCAACAGACAGGCCTCTACCGAATTTCTGGCTGTGACCGCACAGTGAAAGATTTGAAGGAGAAATTCCTTAGAGGGAAAACAGTACCTCTGCTTAGCAGAGTGGAAGATATCCATGCTATTTGTGGCCTTCTTAAAGATTTTCTCCGCAATCTTAAGGAGCCTCTTCTTACTTTCCGTCTCAATAAGGACTTTATGGAAGCAGCAGGTATGAGTAATATAACACATCTGAGTATAAATGTTGAGCATAAAACTTTTCTCCACTAGGCAAACTAAAAAGCTGGTTTTGATCTTTTTCATATGTTTCATCCATGATATTAAAATATTGTTTGTATCCTGACTTTGTTATTTTTACAAATAGCCCAAGGCAGCAAGGCATATCTAACATATACCCTCATTTCCCCTCAATAAATCCTATGAGGTGGCTTGGACTGACAGAGTGACTGGCCCACTAGATTTATAATACAATGTACCTATAGAATAAGAAGGGGATGACAGAGAATGAGGTGGCTGGATGGAGTCACTGAAGCGGTAGACGTGGAAGAGGACAGGAAGGCCTGGAGGAACGTTGTCCATGGGGTCATGATGGGCCGGACATGACTTTGCAACTAACAACAACAATACATATAGTATAAATGTATAGTTCTCCTTCCCACCACCCCCGCCCAAAAGTTTACTATGATTTAGTACTTATTTGCTAAAACTTCCTTTGAATTCCTATATATTGACTTCATTCTATTTTTTATTTTCCACACGGTCTATTTGAAAATCAGTTTTCTGTTTTTGTTAATGCAGGACAGAGCCCAAGACTAAAAATATAATTATACATTAGAACAGGATTCTCCAATCCCCACACTGCGGCCCACTACTGGGCCATGGTCTGATAGAAACCAGGCCACTCTAGTGATGGGCAAGCACACACAAGAAACTTGCCTTGCACAAGCAGCAGGCAAGCGTGCATGCAAAGCTCCATTCATGCGAGTAGATGGCACTCACGCGCGAAGCTGTACGTGTGAGCCTGTTACTCAGACACACCCCATCACACTGGGCCAGGCCACCAAGGTGGAAAGGTTGGAGATGCTGCATTAGAAGTCCCTTTCTTATTGTTTTCTATTACTCAACATAATACTTATTTTTTAAAATTTCAGTAGTTCAATTCTTTATTTCAAAAAAGTTTATTTTCATAGAGAGCAATAGATGTTAATGTGTTACTGATAGAAAGATATAGAAACTTTGGTTGGGAGAAGACCTTGGAGGTAAAATGCTATGTAATCTTCCAAACTAGTCTACAGACTAGTCTAATCTTCATTAACTCCCCAATACAGTTTGCAAACACAGATTAGAGGGGGACCCTGTCTCCCATGAAGACTTTTTTCTTTGAAGAACTTTTTTCTTGCCCCAGATTTGGAGAGTTATATCATTCTTGTTTAACAGTTTCTCTCTCTCCCTTCCTCCCTCCCTCCCTGCTAAAAGTTTTACTAAGAATTGAGCTATGCATCACATTACAGAATGATTTCTTTGGGATTGATTTAATGGTTGCTTGAATCCAGCAAATTGCAGTTTATTCAGCAAATAATAATTAAGCAAACAACAGCTTAGTATGATATATGAACTTACCTATATGTTAAGAAAGGCCCAATATGTTGCCATTTTAAATTAATTCCTTCTCCCTAACATGAAGTCCAAAGTCTTAGAAGCCTAAGCAGTTATAATTAAGGTACCTGCAGAAAATTCATTATTTTCTCCATTGTAATAAGTTGGAAGAGGTCATAGAAATTTCTTTTATGTTTTCATTTAAAGAAATTATAGATGAGGACAACAGTATAGCAGCCATGTATCAAACTGTTGGAGAGCTACCACAGGCTAATAGGGAAACTCTGGCATTCCTCATGATTCACCTGCAGAGGTAAATTCAGTTATGTTACAAATTCTTGAAGAGGCGATTAAAAAAAGGACTCTTATACTATAATTCTATTCATCTTGGGGATTGGGGTAACAATGAAAGGAATAGTTCATAAGACAAAATGTATTACTCCTCTTTGCACAAATGCTCCTACATGTCTATCTTTTCCCTAGAGTGGCTCAAAGTCCAGACACCAGAATGGATATTTCCAACCTAGCTAGAGTCTTTGGGCCTACCATTGTTGGCCATGCTATACCAGAACCTGATCCCATGACACTACTCCAGGATACAAAAAGGCAACCTAGGGTAGGTCACAAGTGTGCATAACAGAATGGGAATGTTCAGCATTTCAAGTGACTTGAGAATGCAGCCTATGTTTGTTTTTGTAAATGCTTAGCATTGATTTGTGCCATCAAGGAAGAAAAATATATTCTTTATATGTCAATGTGAATTTGTAGGTTGTGGAACGGTTGCTCACTTTGCCTGTGGGATACTGGAGCCAGCTCATCATGGTAGAACAGGAAAATATTGAGCCAGCTCACATCATTGAAAATGCCAATGCTTACTCCACACCCTGCACACCTGATGTTAAAGGTAATTATGCCTGCGATCCATCTGCTAGCTGAAATTTGGTAATGTGAACAATAGTGTTGCTTCTTCACACCAAATGTGAATATGAGTGATGATACCCATCCTGGATCCAGTGGGAGATGTTGTAGAAGTCCTGTCCAAGTGTCCAGAGACAGCCACAGTCTGGATGGGGGGGGAAAGATTCAAGCCAGGCAAGTTGGAGTGACTGTTAATTTGAAAGCTTCTGTAACATTTGATGTGAATTCTATGGAGATTTTCAGTCATCCAGGGTCATTGTTGCCCCAAAGGTGCTCTTTCAGGAGGCAACTGGACTTTCTTGTTTGATGGGGAATTCCCCACCATTCAGTTAGAGCTGAAGAAGATTCTTGGGTGAGAAGTGAAACGTCTTCAAAAAAAACAACCAAGAAAGTCCAGTGGCTTCCTAAAAAAGCACCTTTCGGACATTTGGTGGGAATCTGTTCCTCAGAACGTGCAAATTTACAACACAAAGTTCCTCCCAGACTCACCATTCTTACTACATTAGGGAGAAATTGTGAACAGGAGACCCTTCACATGATACCCCATTTACAACTTTGTATGGAACAGGACCGAGGAAGATCACTCAGGCCTTTGTCATCTCCCAATTAGATTATTGTAATTAGTTCTACATGGGCTATCCACAAAATCCATCCAGAAAATTCAACTGGTCCAGAATGCAGCAGTTCAACATACTTTCAGACCAATCTCTGTATTGCCACCTTTCAATGCTGTGGGAACTATATTGATGTATTTCCAAGTGCAATTCTAGATGCTGGTTGCTATCTTTAAAATTTGCCTGTTTGGCTCGTATCCTGTATATTTAAAGGACAGTCTTTCCACACCGTCTGCTCATTCCATCCTGATAACTAGAGAGAGTTTACTAAGAGTTCCCACCTATCAGTACTTAGGTGGCAAGAGGGGGGTCAATATTGGACATTCTTAATGGCAGTTCCCCTCCTGTGGACACCTTGTCATTTGTCACAAGAATGGCTCCACGTGTGTGATGGAAATCAGTAGAAACTTGGCTTTTCTGGAAGACTTACGGGGGGCTAATTGGTGAGCCACAGATAGAAATGCATACACACACAAAAAAAAAAGCACATAGAATGTGTGTGTATGTGGATTTGTATTTTTTTTTCTTATTTGATGTTATAATTTTGCTGAAATTTCAAAATGTAACTTTATGGTTATTTTAATCTCTGTAAACTGCCTAAGGTCTGTGAAGATTGACGTGATAGATAAATTGCAGAAATAAATAAATTCCACAGGGTTGCCATTCTTAGTGGAAAAACCTCTCATTCTTTCCATTCATATACAATTTTATTCTCTGCTCCTTCAACATATGGAGCGTGTCTACCCATTTTCTGTGTCTGCTACTTCAATCTGCATAAATTGTGTTTCGGTATTCAGGGATTTTGCTTGCCAAAAAAATTGCAGGACAATTGTATAGGTTGAAGTTATTTGCACTTAAGCTTATTTTTTTTGAGCAAAGGCTGAAAACTTGGTGAGAATTAGATTCAGATTAATTGTGATATTGTTTGAGAGAGAGAAAGTAAGTCATTCTTATTAAGATTTTTCATCACTGATAATGAATGCAAAGTTCTGAAGCTATTTGAAACATTGTGGCTTAAGAATATTAACTGTAATTGTTCTTATCACATAGTGAGCATGTTGGGACCACTCACTACTCCAGAACAGCAATTGGCAAAAACTCCTTCAAGCAGCTCACTGTCTCAGAAAGTCAAGTCTACATTTAGCAAAACCACTCCCAAGTAAGTTTAATTATTTATTTGGTCTAATTAGCAAACTATCAAGTCAAATCCTTATTGAGGTCACAGACGAGAATAAATTAGCAAAGTATGTTTTTTTTTCTATCCTTCCTTAGTATTTTGGAGCTATAAATTGAGTTTGTGTAAAAGCTGGTGAGATCAGAGCAAAATTGGGGGGGGATTCTGATTCTAAATATATGATTTGGAGTACTGGGGAATGAAAATTGGTGAGACTACTTGAGATGGAACAGAATATGAGGAATAATTGAAACATATCCAGAGGGAAAATATTCCAAAGGAGCAACACATTAGTTGTGAATACTTAAAAAAACATTTCAGCTCAAATGGTTGCAATTTTTAATTTGAAATATAAGGCTATCTTATCAGTTTACCTGTGAATTGCAGGCTCCTTACATGGACTTTTATGGGGTTGTGATTTTTCCAGAATGTGTTATATAAATACAACACAGAATAGCCCAACTGCTTCTACTGTACAACTGTTTCCGGACTATATATGGAAGCCAGGGGGAAGATTTTTTGCATTAGTTTCAGAGAATTTGAGTTGTATGTTTTTGTATGTCATGGAAAGTAGAAATATGGATCAGAGTTCAACAGATATTAAAGAATAGGTTATTTTTCTATCAAACAAATGCTAAAACATACAGATATTTGCCACTATTGCATATTGAAAACTGCTCATAATGAATCTTTCCACTTATTTCCTAGATTTGCAAGCAAAAGCAAGTCTGCAACAACCTTTGGACGGCAAGGAAACTTTTTTGCTTCTCCAATGCTGAAATGAAATATCCTGGTGTTCTGATTATCTGCTTGCAGTGCAATTATAAAGACCAGCAATAAAATCTCAAGTTGTTCCTTCACTTCCTAACAACAATGTGTAATAACTTCAGTAATATATATCTGCTTTTTAGCTTTTCTTAAATTTTAGTTGAATTTTATTCAGTGTAAGATGTCTAGTCATATCACATTTATTGTAGGGTATAACTGGCATAACCCACTCAGCGTGTAAGTAGGGAATTTGCAAGTTTGCTTGTTTCTGAAAATATGTCTCTAGTTGGGAAGGTGCCATAATTGGAAAGGAATGTAGTTTGAAAATCTAGTAATTTTCTTCATTTTACAAGCTTTGGATAAAGTAAGTGCTGATCCATTACAAAGGTATCTGCTTGAAACTATATATATTCAAAATGCGGTCATATGAAAAATTGAAACCATGGTCCATTAGTGCATGTACACATTGTATAAGATATTTCTTTTGATATCAAAGGAGGATATAATAAATGTGATAACTAATTGAGTAAATGATATAATAGTATGTTGTCACTTTACTCTCACTTAGATTATTTGAATTATATACGCTTATTAAAATCATGTGCTTAGCATTGGGAAGACTTAAGGTTACAGTCGTGAATTTATTTTTGAATGTATATCTATAAAGCTTTCTGACAAAGGGAATTCTTGAAAGAGCTGTCATTAAATAGAAGTTGAATGTAATATCCGTTGATAGATGTATGGGATAAATCTGTCCATTTGACTTTTTAATTAATTTCAATCGTATGTTAAAAACCACTCTATTTAAAAGCATGTTACTTTGCAGCATCAAACCAGCATAGATAAAAGTGACTTAGATTTGAACAAGGAAATTAGTAAGCTTAGATAATCTTCCCAAACAAGGAAAGAACGGGTGCAAGAAAATTTATTGCACAACTTCCATTCTGTGTGACTCCATTCTATACATGTTTCAAATTGAGGCGTTTTCTGCCACAGTAAATACTGTTGCTATCAGGAACCTCTATACAATTGGAATGTGGACATGGGTTTCAAAATTCTCCGAAGTATCTGGATGGAGGGAAACACTTTTGCCTTTATTTAGGGATATTTGATGGGAATTTCTGGTACTTGGTTGTAGATAACTTTGGATAGATAAGGGGAAAAATGGCCATGGATCATTCTCTCAAAATTGTGTAAATTATGAGGAAGGATTACTATAGGGTTTTATCTTTGAGGATAGCCTCACTATATTGGGTATCCAGAAAGTTCTATTGACTTTAATGGATTACTGTGTCTACTACCTTACTTAAATGAGATTTTGATATAATGTTAGGACAACAGTTCCTAGACAATGTACATACAACTTTAATTTATTTGAAAGAGCACAGCTTTGTGGTGAATCTAGAAAAGAATATGTTTAAAAACTGCAATGTCTAGAGCATTTGGATATACTGTAGTTCTGGACACTAGCCAAGTCAAGATTTTTCTGAATACAAAGATTATTGCAGGTTGGTGTCTTCCATTCTGACATATAGCTGATGTATATAATGGAGTTTGCATGCCTTCAGGGTAGGGTGAGATAACAAGGTCTGGGTTTTTTTGGTCTTGGTTATCAGGATCAAGAAAAGAGTCAAAAGGGGTTTTGAAAAAGCGGCAGTGATTTGTTCTAAGGCTCATCCATTTATTATTTAGAAAGTAAATTGGACTTCATTTTGGGGGTTTCCCCTTTGAGCTCTACTTGCACTTAATCTAAATTTTTGTAGTTGGGAGAGTATGACGAAAGTGTGCAAGTTGGGAATACCACCACCATAGGAGCATCAAAGCACATTCAGAGGTTGCAGCTTCAGCAACTTTTGAAGAGGAATTCTTTTAATAGAAAAAATTTGTAGAAATGTGATTTGGAAGTCAGTACATATCTTTACTAAACATTATAAAACCAATAAGAGTACAAATGGGTTTTCCAGTAATAATGTAGTCAGCAATTTTAGAAGTCTTCCTGAGGGGATATTGCTCTGATATATCCTTAGGTAAGAAATGTTGTAAATGACTGCTACTCTCTACGAATGTTTTCTTGCATATTATTTCCAGGGCAGCATCCCATCTGTACTAGTAGATTTATTTTCTGCTTCTTAAGTGAGGTTTATATTTATGTTAAATTTTATTCTATAATATTTGATCCGTTTTAACTGAACAATAGTATTTCAACTTTTTTTAGATGATTTTGTGTTAACAAAATTCAATAGACATTCTCTGTACCTTTGCATCAAAGCTACTAATATACATTTTGAAGAGTATGATTGAATGTTAGCATCTATTAAATATCTCACTCCACACATGAAATTTTTGAGCTATCAATATATCTACTAGTTATTGGTATTCATCCCACATTCAGCTAGCTTTCTGATTAAAATGCTATATTTTATGGTAGTCTGCTCAGGTGTGTACTAACATCAAGATAGGTTATGTAGCACTCCCATATATATATTAGGAAGATTATCTAGTTCTTTAAAAATTGATCAAGTTAGTTCATTAGGATTTCTCTCTTTCATTTGTGATATGGCCAGACCACCAGCATTCTAAAATGCAATTGATGTGATCTGGAAATTCAAATTAAAAAAATATTCCATAGTTTGAATCCTACGTCTTATTCTGTTCATGTGCTTTTTATTATTCTTAACATCCTTTAGCAACTTACTTCTGAAGTTCAGCTTTCCTTACTTTAAGTTTAAGGACATCTATAAGTACTTATTAAGAAAATAACCTGGACTTCTCCTATGTGTCTCTTTTTTTGGTCCAAATTATTGATAATATTTTTTGTGTGCAGCCATATTGATTTCTTCTGTCTCCCCCCCACTAGAATTGTTTGTAATTATGCTTTAATATCTTCTTTCTTAGGAACTCCTTTTTTAAGGAATTCTTGCCTTCTTTGAGTGCTCCCCCCCCCCCAAAAAAAAATCCTCTGCCATGAAATCCTACCTGTCATTGCACTTATCTTATTCACATTTTAAAAAAGATATATGTTGATCTTAAGCCATCTTAAAGTCTGTAGAGATTCTCACTCATGCAGGGCATGGTTGTCCCAAAGGTGCTTTTCAGGAGGCAACTGGACTTTCTGGTTTTTTCTTTTGAAGACATTTCACTTCTCATCCGAGAAGCTTCTTCAGC